GTTCCCAACAATATCCCTTTTTTTCTTATAATATTCCTTTGTGATTTTTGTTATAAACCCAATTCGCTTTAAACCTATGTTTGGAACTCTAATATTAAATTAAGTAATTGAAGTTTGTTTATTTGAAATGTGTTTTTAGTTGATATAAAATGAAACACTATTGCTTTATAATTTTGATTTTTGATTTAAATTTTGAGTAGATATGTAAAATGAAACACTATGTTGTTTTGTTATTATGTTGTATGTTGCTTATATAATTTTTATTTTGGATACATGTAAAAATAAAAATTGATTTATCATAATAGAAAGTATTAAATAAATGAAAATTTCTCAATTTTTAAAGTTTTTATTGTGATTTTATTTAATAGAATTGCAAGTATTATCACTTTTATACTTTTTATAATTGATTGGGATTGAATGCACATTTTTTATAGAAAAAAAAAAAAATTTTAATTTCATATAATTTATTCAATATTGAGTTATAACGACATTAAGTGAATTTTTAAATAACATATAACTCATAATAAATGAAAGAATTGGACTTTTGAAATTATAATGATTATGAAAATGAAATTACTTATGATGATATGGATTTTAAGGAAATGTAATGAATTGGCTCATGGCCTGGTTACATGAATTTTTATAGGAAGTTCAGAACATTTTATTACTTATGATGATATTGTACATATTATCACATCATCCTCCTTATTTAATAATATATTTTACATCATTAATAAAAAAAAAAAAAGTAATTACCCTTACAAATTGGGTTTAACTGAACAGAAACAAAAATTTTACAACTTTTAGTTACAAAAATTGTACAGGAATTCTATTTGAATAATGTAAATAGTATTGAGCTTATTTAATTTTTTTAAAGAATTTTTTTTAACAAGGAACGTGATTTGCCCATGTTATGGCTCCTCGTCCCGTAACCCCATGTTTTCAAATCTGGTCGAGCGTTGTAAGCACACATGCAACGGGCCCCACTGCCCCTTCCTTCCCCCAATCAACTCGTTGTCCTTTTCACAATTAAATCTCGATCGTTGAAATATAGTTGGACCAATTTTGCGGGGCCAGGTTGAAACTTACGGCCCAGATTCAATCACACCCCGCGTCCCGTGTTTTGGAGTCTAAGATTTTAAATTCTATTTTTAAAAAAATGATATTTAAAAAAAATAGTTTTATTAAATGCTCTGCTCCAGATATAATTACTCTCTTCCTCACCAACCCCCACCCCCCCCCCAAAGTGGCTTCTTCTCCCTGCGTACCTTTCTTTTTCCTTTCTAGAGTGACTTAAAATACAGTGAGAATGATAGTAATCACTCTTCTCCAGAGCTTGATTCTATCTCGAGCGCTTTGAGGCTCTGTCTCGTCGGCGGCTATAATCAAGATTTCCTCGCCGCATTCTTCAATTTTTCTGCTTCAGTCTGCGGCTTTCACTTCTCCATTTGAGGTTTGGTTCTAGTCTGCCCTGTTTGTTTGTTTTTTTAGTGGATGAGGATGTATTTAGTGTAGAACTACTTGCAAGAGCGAAGATAAGTGTTTCCTGGAAACTGATTGTAAGGGTGAAGGTTTTGGATCTCTATCTGTGTGTGGTGTTGATTGTTATTCCCCTAAATGTTTGGATGAAACAATATTTTCTTTCTTATTTCTTTTCGATTTTTCTTCTCTAGATTCTTTTTTGCACTTTCTCTTTTACTTACAAAGGGCGTAACATTTTTGAAAAACTTCCAGTGATTTTTCTACTTTTATTTATTTCCTTTTGACGAAAGATCGTTGAACTGTTTGTTTTTGTCGCTTCAACTTACATAAATTGTAGGCTCTCATGATACGAGATTTTTGAAAATTAAGTGCTGTCATCATTGTTTCTAATAATGCTTATTCACAACTTTAATGTTTTTATCAAAATCATTAGAGCTTTGGGAAACTAATTTCCGTTGCAGAACGTTTGAACTAGTTTTCAATTTTCTATTAAGCTTATTTTAACTAGCAAATGTAACTTGCTCTCAAGCATGAGGAGAGAGATTTAGGCTCCATTTGTTATTAATAAAACAATAACAATAAGAAGATATGGAAATAAAATATTTTGAATATTATTTTTAATGGTCTTGGTTTCTGATTTTTTTTTTTAATTTTAGAACTATGTAATTGCGACTTTTATGGATAAATATAAATATAAAATTTCAAAATAAAATCTGAAAAATAGAGTATTTTCACGTGGTTAATCCTAATTTTTGCACTTCTTTTAGGCACAGGGAACGTTATTTCTCGCCCTTTTAACATTATAGTTTTCTCTTGACTTGGACATAATTAATTTTCATTTGAATTAATGCAGGGGTTACACCGCAAATTACTTCTTTGGCCACTCACATTAAAAGTAATTTTCCCATCGAGAAAGAATTTCAAAATAAAATTTTACTAAAAAATAATGGTGATGAGAAGGAGGCTCGCTTGCTGCACTTGGGACAGAGAGATGAGCGTCGACTTCGATGAACAAGAGAGTAAGAATCACATTCGTATTTACTATTTTTTTAGCAGTATAATGGTAACTGATTAGTAATTGGGTGCTATTGCGAATATCTAAGTATTATATTATATTATATTATATTATATTATATATATTTCCGTGATTTATGTTGCTTGCTCGCTAACAAACTCACACTCTTCCACAAAAATAAATGACTAAATAAATAAATTTCTTCCAAAAAAGAAAACAATCTTACACCAGCCACTTTTTTGTCTTGCAGTTTATTTTGTAGGTATCACATGGGATGAATAGTTTGAATATTATTACTTTAAAAAAAAAAAAAAGACAACTTATTCTACCAGTGAGCATTGTTACTCGTTTCTTCATCCAAAGAAAAAGAGTCACGTTTTGCTCAACAAACAACTCATGTGTATTGACATTTTCGTTGCCTATATTTACAATTCTTTATCCTACTTTCTACCTTAAAACTCAAGTCATATTTACTGAAAATTTACCAAGGTTACAAAAATTTATCTTTGGTATTGAAAGATTTAAATTTAAATCATAATAGGTAATGAGGTAGTTAACAATCAAAACTTGTTTATACAAACGAAAGCTAAGTTAACTAGTTTACATTTTCCCAAGACAAATAATTTTCTTTTCTGAAGGAATTGCCCAGAAGATAAATTTTGGTAGAAATGTGTTTACTGGATCTACTGATGAAAAGAGGTCCAAGTAATTGGGTGAAAATAAGGGTAGACAAGCTTACGTAGGAATCGGCTTTTATAATGAGTATACATTCACTGACGTTGTACCATTTAGTTTTAGTAAATTTATAAATAACTCAATAAGTTTTATGACTTGACTCTATTTATTTTCAATAAGAATGACAAAAATCTCATTGGTGCATGTATTGTATACGATAGTATATCCCGTTAGGTGCGCACTTCTAGTTGCTTAGAAGTCAGCATTTTTGACTTGGTTGAATATCAATCATAAGTTCTATATCTTTCAATTTTCACATGAAGAAATGTAATGGATCTAGGCCGTCCTTCATAGCGAGATCACATGGGGTTATATCATAATTTTGAATTTTTTTGAGGCTGTTTTCAAGCATTTTAGAGGATGGGAATTGGGAAGAATATAGTAGCAAAATCTAGGCCGTAGGGTGTAAAAAGCTCATTAGGAAACATAATAAATAAATAAATTCTGATTTATTAATAGGTGCACCTGGTACGATGCCTGCCAGAAATTTAATGTACCTCTATGTTGTCAATTTATTTTTAAAATGTATTGTCTTAATTGTTTCCTTTATGAGGGATCCTTACGGGCAAGATAACTTGCTCCTACCAAGTCAACCCTAGAATGTGAATTACCAAAAATGTGCTACTTTTATAGCTGCGCTAGATAATGAATTAGTACTAAGGTGTCCACTTACGGCAGTTTTTGGTTTTAATTTTTTCAATCGGCTAGATAAAATAAAAATTATTTGTAGCAAAAGATAAAAGTTAAAATTTATTTTTGATAGGTATAAGTATAAAAATTATAATTATGATTTTTAAAAAAATGACTTTAATTTTTAATAAAAATTTACATTTAGATATCAAAAATCATTTTCACCAAACATACAGTTCTTACTTTTTTTAAAAAATCTATAACTATTTCAACTGAATAACATTTAATAAAAATATTTTTTAATAATATTTCAAAATTTACAGCATAAAGTACAGCTATCTTTAGAGGCCAACTAAATATTATCTAATTTCTATCAAAATATAAAATTTAATATTTTAATTTTTACTGATATTGTGTACTAATTATGAATATTTAATAGCTCATTAGTATTTAGTTATAAATAGTCTAAACTAATCATTAATATTTGAAAATGCTAAATATATCATAATCATTTAGAGTCCCCGTTCATCCACTTACTCAGATATAAATTAAATCCTTGGTGTACCCTACTCAAACATGGCCTATATGGTGTGTGAACCACTTCTGCGACTTCATGGAAAGATGAAGTAATTTGGTGGGGACAAAAAAAGTCGTTGTCTTTATAACAAATTTGTCCTGCAGCATTTATAACCGTTTATATTTGGATCAGTTCCCTCCCTAAGACGATTCCTTCTCTTTAATTTCTTTTTGTTTCTTATTTCCTTTGGTTTTGTTAGCCCATATGAACCGACAACACGAAGAAAAGAAAAGACACAAGTCGATGTGAACACGTAATTGTGGGGGATTAAGTTACTACTATTCGGAGGACTAGTTCTTAAGAAGGCCGTATTCTCTTTATTTGGCTAAGTGACTGTTGAACTGACAAGTGCCTAGCTTCTTCGAAACTTAATTTTGTAGGGTGTCTATTCTGTTGAAATTTAGGAAGCTTCCTGCCTTCTTCTTTCCGGTTGTTCTTTATCCTCTGACGAAAAGTTTGAGATCTGACGTCACCGGTTTTCTTTATGGTGAATAATTTCCGGCCGTATTCTCTTTATAGCATGATTAGTTTTGGGACAGAACGGGCTGAGTAATTTTGCGTACGTTCTGGAAACTTCATGGGAATTTGTATTTGGATTGAGATGAAAAAGTTATGGTTTTTGGATCTGACGGCTTGTTTTAGGAGTGTTTTTCGTTCATCTTCCAAGTTGCATATTAACTTAATCGAATGGAAGAGAAAAATGTCTGCATAATAGTCAACGTAGGACGTATTGGTACTTAGCTTCAGTGGATAGAAAGGTCAATTTATAATTTTTGACATCGTATAGTTTCTCGCTTGCAAATGTTAAAAGCATGTTGAGCTAGGTTCAAGACTTGAACTCATCAAAAGATTTGCAAGCCTTGAACTCATCAAAAGATTGATAAAATAACGTGAATTATTAACTTAAGAAGCGGGAATTCGGAGTCAAGTCCTGTGAGTCCGTGACAAATACCATTTTCTTTCTTTTGCATGTGCTTACACCTAACAATCCTATAATAGAGACAAATTTGACAGGATTGATTTTGTCATTCAATTATACAAGAGGCCCGAGTATCTCGTTTGAATCCAGTGTGTAATAAACATTAAAGGTGCAGATACATACATGTTCCGTTAGAATAACTGAATATTGTGAAAGAGCATCGAAAGTTCCTAGAGTAATTTTATGCAAGTGTTGTACTTGTCCGAATCTCTGCTCCCAAAAATGAAGGAATACTATTATTTATTTGCTTTTTGTGTCGCAATCTTGTAAATGTTTCATGAGAAAATATTGGTCAAGCATAATATTGACTGAAAGCGTTTGGCAATTACTTTAGTACGGCCGTCGACACAGATTTTGATGGAAAAACGTATTATGTCCATTGCTTGTGTCAATTAAGATACAGGGCACAAATTTCGATCTTACTTCTCTGGAAATATCAACTGCGTGTAGTGTAAACCGCATGGCCACATGGCATGGCAGAGGCTCTTGTAATTTTTTAACATTTTGTTTGCCAACCTATAAGTTCGAAGTTCATTTTCCTTAATGTAGTAATTATAACTGAATTTGACAGGAGTAATGACATATAATGGTCTTGAGAATTGCATTCTCAACAGTCAATCTTATGAGGATGAAAGTGGAACAAGCAGAGGAGATGGGTGTGCAACTGACTCTTTGGATGATGATGATTCAAGCTGCTCTTCTAGCAAAGATGCTTTTGGATCATTTTCCTCAAAATGGTTGACAATGAAGAGGGATGAACAGGGTTCTGATGAATGGGAGCTCTCCGAAAGCCCACAGCATTTTTATTGCAAAGAGAAACCTGCTTATGCCGTTCAGTTTTCAGATGTAGAAGCAATGAAAGAGAAATTTGCTAAACTACTCCTGGGTGAAGATATTACAGGGGGTCGTAAAGGTGTCAGCACTGCATTAGCTTTGTCAAATGCCATAACAAATCTTTCTGGTATGTCTTACTTTATTTTCCTTGTGGAAACTTCATTCTTGGGATTGTTTTAGGTATCTTCTATTTATCATTCATTCTTGGGATTGGCTTTTCATTTATCAACAGTTCATGAAGATTAACATATTAATTAATTCCTTGACCTCTTCATATACATGTTTGATTAGGTAATCTGATCACTGAGACTATAATTACATTAAAGCCTTAAAGTAATTGATTGAGGAATACAATCATTTTGCTAATGAACTACTGTCAAGAAATATAAAAGTAAGCTGAGAATATGCTACAAGACTTTCATCTAATACATTGTTGCTAAAATGAACTAGTGAAAGAAACTGTTTGAGAAAATGTCTTATAAAAATCTGATGTAAACTCATGCATTATAGTCTTCCTCCTTTTACATTTAATGCAATAACTAGGTAACCTGCTGGGAAATTATGCAAGGATGCAGTAACAAATCTCCGCTTTGTAATTGCCATAAGGTGATAAGAGATGGAAATGCTAGCACCTTCTGGGTTCTTTTTCTTTATGATTTAACGATAGGCTGAAGTCTTTCAATCAAAAGTAGCCTTCAAGTCCATTTTTATCTATCCATTGGCTTCAACCTTTACTATCCTGCAAAGAAATGAGAGGGGTGAGGGAGATGTAAACAGAAAGGACAGAATATCAAAGCTAAAAAGACTATGAGAATGAAATGAGGCATGTCTCCACTTTAGAATTACATAGTTATCATTTATAAGATCATGAATATCAACTCCGCCAAACTTTCTGGGAATCTTGATCAGTGATCTAGGACATGCATTTCGTTTATGTTTGTCACATCATCATCTCTCTATCTCTTCTAGCATCTAACGCGCTAAAGAAATGGATTTTTAGCTTCTATTTTTGGGGAGCTCTGGAAATTGGAACCGTTGCCTGAGGAAAGGAAGAACAAATGGCGAAGAGAAATGGACTGGCTGCTCTCTCCTACAAACTATATGGTTGAGTTAGTCCCTGCCAAACAAAGTGGCGCCAATGGACGAACTTTGGAGGTACTTGTTCACTTTTATATATATATAACAGACGAAAAGACTATGTGAAGCAAATTCAGATTGTTTTTTATTGAAGCAGATAATGACACCAAAAGCTCGTGCTGATATTCACATGAATCTTCCAGCTCTTCAGAAGTTGGACTCTATGCTTATTGTGAGTGATGTTTTTCATTTCATTTGAAATTATAACTTTTCAGTTCGCTAAATTTTTCATCTGACCAGCTTCAAAATTTCAAATTAACAGGAGACACTTGACTCGATGCTGGACACTGAGTTCTGGTATGCAGAAGTGGGCAGCAGGGCGGAAGGAAGGAACAAGAGTGCAAGGGAGAGCAAGAGGTGGTGGCTTCCATCACCACAAGTACCAAAAACTGGTCTTTCAGACACTGAAAGGAAGAAACTGTTCTGCCAGGGTAAGATGGTCCACCAAATTTTCAAGGCTGCTAAATCCATCAACGGAAGTATCCTGCAGGAAATGCCTGTGCCAGCAATTATCAAGGATGCAATTCCCAAGGTGAGCTGGCATTCTGCCTTCCGGATCATTCTTATTTATTGAAAACCTTGCTGAAGCTTTTCCAGTTTAATCTTTCTGTAAGCCATGCACAAAAGTAGAATCTGAAACTACTACATCCGAAAGTTGATGATAGAAAAACAAACAGAAATTCTTGAATGGTGTATATGCTTATAGTAACATTTGTCTCTGCTCATTTACAGTCTGGAAGAGCAAACCTTGGTGAGGATCTGTACAAGGTCTTAACAACAGAATACTGTTCTGCTGATGCAATGCTCAATTCCATCAATTTAAGATCTGAACATACTACTCTTGAGGTCATTAGTCGATTAGAAGCTGCTATATTTTCATGGAGAGAGAGAATCATGGAACAAAATAGTGGTAAATCACCAGTTCGTAAATCATGGTCTTTTATTAAGGACCCTATGTCCGAGTTAGATAGGACAGAGTTACTATTGGAGCAAGCTAAAGTCCTTCTGCAAGAAATCAAGGCCAGAAATCCTAATCTCCCTCATTCATTTCTTGATGCTACAAAAATTCAGTATGGCAAGGTGAGTTCCATTTTGAGTTAATGGTAAATAATTTTCCATTATTTGGCAGCATTTTTTCTCACTACTCCAATAATCAGTTTACAACCTCATGAATATAACCTTTGATGATTATCAATTTAAGGCTATATTCACTTCAATCAATCTGAATCCTCTCAGGACATTGGGCATTCAATTATAGAAGCATATTCCCGGGTAATTGGAAACTTGGCTTTTAGCATCCTGTGTCGTATAGGAGAAATATGCAGGAAGATATTTCGAGCAATCCCAACTCTCCGGCTCTCACATATAATTTTCCAGATATAAATAGCACCAATAATTCAGAAAATCGAGTGCCTGGTGTAGATGTAAGGCGATCACTCTCTGATCAGATGAGAAGTGTGGATGGAAGAAACTATGAGTCTACTAGTTGTGATAATTTTGATTTGGATTCTTTGTATAGTGAAGCAAAAACAAGTTCTGTGAATGCAACTCCGAGTAGGGGACGTTTATGGTGCATGCGTAGAGAGGCTTGTATCGGCGGTTCCCCTGTGAAATCTCCCTAATACCGGAGAGTTATTTTTTATAGACATCTTGTAAATTACAGCATCATGTGATTAACAAGATAGCCAAGTTAATTTTGGTTTACCTCTTATTAGAGTGTCATTTTATTTCTACCCTACTACTATATGAATGTATATCTTTCTTTGAAAAGTTA